ATCGGTATCGATCTTGGAACTACTTATCCTGGTGTGGGTGTCCAAGAGCGAGGTCGAGTCAAAATTCTGACTAATGACCAGGTTAGTCCTACCCAATCATCATTTTCACTTTCTTTGGATGTGCCCGCAAGACACTAACAAAATTTACTATCACTGGGTAACCGAATCACTCCATCCTATGTGGCCTTCAACTCTGAAGGTGAGACATTGATCGGAGACGCTGCCAAGAACCAGGGTGCCTCCTACCCAACCAAGTAAGTTTTTTTTGTGACATGGTTCATTCCACGCCATCGCCCTTTGCCTAACTGGCACATTCTTCTCATCCAGCCCGATCTACGATGCCAAGCAATTGATTGGCCATAAATTCAACAGCGACAATGTCCAACGTGACATGAAACTGTACCCATTCAAGGTCTTCAAGAAGGGAGACAACCCCGTCCCCCAAGTCGAATTCAAGGGCAAGAAACGGACCTTCACTCCTGAAGCAATCTCCGCTATGGTCCTGGGTAAAATGAAGGAGACCGCCGAAGCCTACTTGGGCAAGAAAGTCACCCACGCCGTCGTTACCGTTCCCGTCTAGTACGTCACTTTACTCCCTTGCAACTAGTGTCACCTGTTTCGACAAATGTATTGACCCTCCAATCTTGCTCATACAGTTTCAATGACACCCAGCGTCAAGCCACCAAGGATGCTGGTACGATCGCCGGCCTCAACGTTCTCCGAATCGTCAACGAACCGACGGCTGCAGCGATTGCCTACGGCCTTGACCGGACCAAGGGCGAGCACCAGATCATTGTCTACAACTTGGGAGGCAGAACCTCTGATGTCTCGCTCCTGTCGATCGACGTGGGTGTCTTCGAGGTCTTGGCCAGCGCCGGTGACACCCATTTGGGAGGAGAGGACTTCGACAACCGGGTCATCGACTACTTCATCCAGCTCTGGAAACGCAAACATAACGGCGAGGATATCACCACTAACCTCCGTACTATGGGCCAGCTGAACCGTGACGTCGAAATACCTAAATGTACCTTCTCCAGCCACCAGTCTGCTCACATCGAAATCGAGTCTGCCCTCACCCACCCATTCGAATGCGATCCAACACAGGTCAGTCCGGCCACATCGAGCCCCAGACCTCGACCTACGACTGCCCGGTGCAGCAGCGGGGGAGGCGGAGGAACCCAAGCCGTCGGCTTCAGCAGACGAGGGACCTTCATTGGGCTCACATCTTTCACCAGACCCGAACTCACGCAGGATCCGGCATCTCTCGGGCTCCTCAGACGCTACCACATACGATAGCCATCTCAGTAGCATCCTTGACCCAGCGATGATTGTCACTCCGGTCACGCTCGTTCGGACCGCCCCGGGACGCCAGGCAGCTGTTCAACGGGTCGCCCTGCGTGGTCAGGAGAACGCTAGAGTCGTCCGACTTCCCCCAAGCGGGCCCCTCGCCACTCCATCTCCGGAGCCAGCACCAATCATACCACCCGCTCACCACCACCCAACGTCCGTGAGACCTTTGGCCTTTCGCCGACGACCCCAACCCGAGGGTACCTCCACAGCCTATGGCCATCCCTACAGGCCTGAAAATCATCATAACGCCGGATCAAATGGCTCACAACAGCCTCGTTCGCCTGCTGTCTACTGTCACAGGTACTCTACTCACCGTCAGCCCCTTCATCCTCAACATCATCAAGTCTTATACCCTCCCCCTGTCTCTCATGCATGACCACCAACCCGAGCTTTCTCTCCGGACCAACTTTTCAGAGCCGGCAATCCGACAGTCAAGCTCGTCTTAATCTTCAATATGCTCAAGGGATGTGTTATTTCACTTAGGAAACTGTTGCGATTTGATTTTCAATGTTCGTCTCATCTTGAGCCTAGTACTGCCTCATAATGAATGGAACACCTTTGGAGGTTGAACGCATCAGCGAAAAAAGTGAAATACATATCTTACGAGTAGAAGGAAGAAAAAAAGAGAGATCGGAATGTCAAAACCTGAACAACCGTCCAAGCTGGTCACCATAGTCTATGCAATCCATCACTTGTTTGTCATCGCTCTCTCGCTCTCTCTCTTTCTCTCTAGTAAACAGCATTAAACTGATTGAAACCAACTTCCCTCCTCAGTCAAGCCGAAAACCCAGATGAGCTCTCCTTCTCTGCGGGCAAACCGATCGAGGTCACCGAAAAAAACGACCTCTATGGCGATGGCTGGTGGCAAGTCAGTCACTTCACCCCTCCTCCCTGTCATACTGATCAAGCCCATACTCACTTCACACCACTATTCATTCATCTATCCAGCAATCTACCAACCTTCTCTGACCTGAACAATCGACCCCCCACAAGTGGTATCCGTGCAGTTTCAGACGCCCCTACCTCAGTCATACAGAAGACTTGGTTAAGATTGTCGATTTACCTCATTGGTCTAGGGAAGCCTTCAAAGGTGCCACCACCCTCAACAGAGTCCAAAGTAAAGTCTTTCCGGTCGCATTTGGTCAAGATGATCCTATCTTGTTGTGTGCTCCAACCGGAGCTGCTAAGGTGAAGTCACCCTTGCATTTATTTTTTAAATTTTATATCAATAAATAAATAGTTACTCGAGTCAGCCGTTGACGTTTTATTTTTCCTCGTCTCGCTACTTACAGACAAACGTGGCTATGCCAACCGTCCTCAACGAGATTGCCAAACATCGTAACGAGGCCACCGGAGGGATCGATTTGGCCGCGTTTAAAATTGTCTATGTTGCTCCGATGAAGGCCCTTGTCCAAGAAATGGTTGGAAACTTCTCAAGCAGGCTTGAATATCTAGGCATTCAAGTTGGAGAATTGACAGGTGATTGATCAGATCACAATGACTCAGATCATTGTCACAACTCCAGAAAAATGGGACGTGATTACTCGTAAGAGTACCGATACCAGTTAAACAAATCTAGTGGGCTTGATCATTATCGATGAGATTCATCTGCTACACGACGAGCGAGGACCGGTTCTAGAAGCTCTAGTCAGTCGAACCATTCGTAGAATGGAACAAAATCATGAATATGTTCGCCTCGTCGGTCTCTCGGCCACCTTGCCTAACTATGCCGATGTGGCTCGGTTCTTGCGCGTCAACCCGAAAAAAGGTCTATTCTTCTTCGATAGTTCCGCTCGACCCTGCCCCCTCAAGTTGGAGTTTATTGGCATCACTGAGAAAAAGGCCATAAAGCGTCTCCAGCTCACCAACGAGATCTGCTACGAGAAAGTTATGAAGCAGCTTAATGATAAGCAACAGATTATCATCTTTGTCCACTCTCGAAGTGAGACCACTAGGACGGCCAAAAACCTGAAAGAAACAAGTATCGAGCGAGATGAAGTTGGTAAATTTATGTCCGGAGGATTAGCCACTCGGGAGATCTTAATGGAAACGGCCGAAAACGTCAAAGACCCGGGGCTCAAGGACATCCTCCAATTCGGCATCGGAATTCATCATGCCGGTTTACCGAAAACGTCAAAGACCCGGGGCTCAAGGAAATTCGGCATCGGAATTCATCATGCCGGTTTAGAAAGAGTTGATCGACGATTGGTCGAAGAGTTGTTTGCCGATGGTCACCTTCAAGTTCTAGTCTCGACCGCTACTCTTGCGTGGGGAGTCAACCTGCCCGCACACGCCGTCATCATTAAAGGCACTCAGATCTACAATCCCGAGAAAGGCAGATGGGTTGAGCTATCCCCCCAAGATATCTTGCAGATGCTCGGCCGAGCAGGGAGACCACAGTACGATACCTTTGGGGAAGGGATCATCATTACCAATCATTCCGAGCTGCAATTCCATCTGTCAATCACTACCAGTCAATTGGTGAGTGATCATCCATTCTTTTTTTTCATCATCCTTAAAAATTTGCAATTGCTCATTCCAAGATGATTTTCTTCCCCATAGCCTATCGAATCTCAATTGGTTAGTAAGCTAGCGGACATCCTTAACGCTGAGATCGTATTGGGTACGATCAGAAACCGTGAGGAAGCACCCCAATGGCTAGGCTATAGGTACTGGTACCAACGTGCATTGGAAAACCCATCACTCTATGGCTTTCAGCATGACCCCGAGGACCCTCTGTTGCTTCAAAAACGGACGCATATCGTCCACACCGCCATTTGCATCCTCGAGAAGAGTGGGTTGGCCAAGTATGATCGAAAGACTGGATTAATCGCCACACTCGAGCTCGGAAAGATCGCCAGTCACTATTATGTCACCAATACATCGATGTCCACCTACAACCAACATCTCCGACCCACAATGACACTGATTGAATTATTCAGGTAAGAATCTCTGCTCTTGGACAATGTTATTTGACTGTGTGCTCACATTCATCTCATACAGGGTATTTGCTGCGAGTGACGAGTTTAAGTACATACCTACGAGACCCGAGGAAAAGCAAGAGTTGGCCAAGCTCCTCGAAAAAGTACCAATTCCGGTCAAAGAATCTGTAGGAGATCCAAGTGCGAAAATCAATGTTCTGCTGCAAGCCTACATCTCAAGACTGCCGCTGGAAGGATTTGCTCTGATGGCAGACATGGTTTATGTCACTCAATCGGCTGGAAGAATCTTAAGGGCCCTGTTCGAGATCTGTCTCAAGCGTGGCTGGGCTAGGTTGACTCACCAAGTCTTGGATTTATGTAAGATGGTCGAGAAGAAAATGTGGGTCTCTATGACCCCTCTTCGGCAATTTCCATCTTGTTCAGCCGATATCATTCGACGGGCCGAGAGGAAAGACTTTCCGTGGTACCGATTCTTTGATCTCGAACCTCCTGAGCTCGGCGAGTTAATGGGAAACCCCAAGCTTGGAAAGACGATCCACCGATTCGTTCATCAGTTTCCCAAGCTAGAGCTCCAAGCTCTCGTCCAACCTATCACCCGAACTATGTTACGAGTCGAACTAACGATCACTCCGGATTTCATGTGGGAGGAATCAGTTCATGGGACTGCTCAAACGTTTTGGATCATGGTCGAGGATGTGGATGGAGAACTCATCTTGTTTTCGGACCAGTTTCTCCTCCGTCAACGATATGCCAACGAAGAACATTTTGTGACCTTTGACGTGCCGATGATCGACGTTGCTGATCGCTGGCTTCATGCGGTACTCGTCTACCGCTGTCCTTCAAGCATCTCATCTTACCCGAAAAGTTCTCCCAGCCTACTCCGCTGTTGGATCTTCAACCACTTCCCGTTCCAGCTTTACACAATAAGGCCTACGAATCGATTTACCTTAAACAGGGCCTCAAAAACTTCAATAAGATTTCTTCCAGGCGCTCTACACTGGCAATGACAACGTGTTGATCTGCTCACCCACAGGTAGTGGTAAGACGACTTGTGCTGAATTCGCTCTATTGCGACTTTGGTCTCAACCGGAATGGCAAAGGTGTGTTTGCATCGAGCCATATCAAGAGGTCGTCGATCTCCGAGTGAAAGAGTGGAGACAGAAGTTCGGTCCTCTCGGAAAAGTGATCGAGCCTCTGACCGGCGAGCTGACGCGGGATGTCGAGCTGACGGCAAGTGACGGGAGCAAGCCGGGACAAGCAAGAATTGATATTATAATCTGCACGCCAACCCAGTGGGATCTAGTTTCCATACGATGGAAACAACGGAAGATGGTAGAAGGCACAGGACTTCTGATTGCAGACGAAATCCATCTGATCGGGTCTGAGATCGGACCAGCCTATGAAGTGATTGTTTCGAGGACCCGATACGTTACTGCTCAGAGCGAGATCAGTAAGACGCGGATCGTCGCCCTTGGTTGTCCATTGGCGAACGCGCGAGACTTGGGCGACTGGATGGGCGCTAATTCCCAGGCGATTTTCAACTTTGCTCCTGGATCTCGACCATTGCCGTTGGAGGTCCATATCCAGTCCTTCAACGTACCGCATTTCCCATCGTTGATGATTCAGATGGCAAAGCCAGCCTACCTGTCAATTCTTGAGTATGCTCACGAGAAGCCGGTGATTGCATTTGTGCCATCACGGAAACAATGTCGGTTGACCGCCTCGGATCTTTCCATCTATGCTCTCTCAGACGAAGACCCTCAGCGATTTTTGAACATCGAGCAAGAAGACCTTGCCCCATATCTCGCTAAAGTCTCAGACGAAAATCTACGCGAGACTTTGGCTAGCGGGATCGGGTATTACCACGAGGCAATGTCGAACACGGATCAGGTGATTGTTCAAAAGTTGTTCGAGGAGGGTGCGATCCAGGTGGTAATCGCTTCAAAAGATACCGCGTGGAGTATCCCGATGACAGCATTTATGGTCATCATCATGGGCGTGCAAAGAGTCACATCTTCATCTATCTCTACATGATCATTTCAACGCAGAAATCGTTGCCAAAACAATCGAGTAAGCTAAAGTTTTATTTATTTCTGGTGCATTGCTCGCTCACTTTCTCTATTATTTTTATCAGGAATAAGCAGGATGCGGTGGACTGGTGCACTTGGCAATGGTTTTACCGTCGCTTGGTAGCTGACCCGAATTACTACAACATGCAAGCTACTGATCATCGACATCTGGTTAGCCGTTTAATCTGGATATTTTTCTAATGTCGTTATCATGGGGTTCTGATGTACTTTTGATTTTGGACTTACTCAGAGCGATCATCTATCAGAACTGGTTGAATCGACTCTTTCAGATTTACAGAACTCCAACTGTATTGCGATCGAAGACGAGATGGACACTACACCTCTTCCACTTGGACCGTTGCCGCCAACTACAATATCAACTATATCACTGCTGATGTGTTCAGTATGAGTTTGACCGAAAAGACCAAGCTCAAGGGAATTCTTGAGATTATTTCTGCTGCGCAAGAGTTCGAGTCGATCCCACTACGACATGGCGAAGAGGGTCTACTGAAGAAAGTGCACGATCGAGTACCGGTGAAAGTAGGGAAAGTAGAGTACCTGTCCCCCCATTTCAAGACCAACATCCTATTACAGGCTCACTTTAGCCGATTGACTCTACCCTCTGACTTGATGCTCGATCAAGTCGAGATCTTGAGGAAGGTCCCTAATCTCATCTCCGCTGCTGTCGACGTCTTGAGTTCTCAAGAGTGTCTAAACACTACTGTTGCCATGGAATTCTTTCAAATGGTCGTCCAGGCAGTTTGGAATCATGATAGTCCGTGAGTGTTGCATTAACTTTTTGGTCTGTTTTGAGGTTTAGTTGACTAATCTGTTTCGAATTATAATTATAATTTTAATTCAAAACAGGTTGAAACAAATTCCAGGTTTCTCTTCTGAGATCATTCAACGATGCACGGCGGCCAATGTGAATCAAGTCACAGACATCATGGAGTCAGTGACCATTCCGATCCAGGAAGCCCAGAAGATGTTCCCGCCACCCAGACAGCCGTCCCCGCTCTCACGTGCCCGCGTCCAGAAGGCCCAGACTGGCCGCTAACCCCGACGTGCCCTCCGAGAAAGACGCGGCCATGTTGATGAGCTTGCAGAACTTGCAGGCTGCACCCGGTAATCGCATCCTGGGGACTACCCCTCATACCAGTCCTGCTCCAAATCATAACTCCCTGGAAAATTGTTTAAGATATAGGAGAAGTACGCAGCATCCTTCGCCTGAAAAATCTAGCAATCGTTCTCATGGTCAGTTGAGCCCTTCTCTAGGTCTTGGGGGGGGGGGGTGTCTGATAATGCAGCAGAAAAATTCTATTCCATTTTTGACTCAAGATGCTTGGATTGCTACAAGTTATGAATTTTTATATGTATATCCTGGTGCATAATTCTTACACACATAGCTCTTAATTATGCAACGTCTTGATTTTGCTCAATTTGACATTTCCTTTTTGCATCTTTTGCAGAATTTGCCAATAGAGAACCCAAGAAAAACATTTCAATTACCCAGGGACTTCCAACCAGGTTTGAGGACTCCAAACATTTCCCTTGCTCACATTGCAGAATTTTCACTTTCAATACAGTGTGATAGTTTTGTAAATGTTCTCTTGGAGATGTTTCAAAGATATCCCCTCTTTGAAAATCAATTTTTCAGACATTTCAACTGAAAACTAATTCCAGGTTCAGTGGATCAGCACCAGTGACAAAAAATTCAGTCAAGGATGGCTATTGTAAAAGGTGACTGTAGTAGATGATGTCAGATACTTGTAAAATAAGATTACACGATACTCAAAATAGAGATTGGTAGATCTTGAGAATATTTGTTGTAATGTACTTCATTCTTACTGTTCTGAATGATTCACAGGTTCTTACCTGTGTGCACTTTGAACAGAGAAAAGTAAACCTATTTCCACCCCACTCAAACACTGTCTGCTTTTTCTGCAAGCTCTGTCAAAACCTGATGATTTCTTGAATTTCTATATCAATCCAAATTATCTGAAAGACAAAAGATGTCCCCAGAAGGCTCCTGTAAGAACCAGTTTTATCACCCCTTGAAATGGGGTTTTCAGGGATCATTTGTTGCCAGAGGCTTGTATGGATTATCAGACCTCAAAAAAGAATTTTCAGCATGGAATATGCAATGGTCAGAACCAGCTTTCCAAGTGTAAAAC